TGTTTTGGTATTCAAAAAAATTTACTATTTGAGTAAAATACTTGATGCTCAGTACTCAAGATAGCGTTTGCCCAACCCTGCCTATAAGTACTCCTGTTTCAGCAAAAATTACAACAACTGTTGCAAAGCTTTTATTTATTGTTTTTCCGTGTTATGGGTTGTATATTTGAGTGATATATGTTATGCATTGTAATAAACCTAGTTGCCTAAAAACACATTTTATTTATAAAAATAATGATTTTCCAAATATTTTTCATAATATATATATATTATATTCATGTAAAATGGTTATGAAATTTGTGTTTTCTCAGAGATTTCCGTCATAAGTAATTGATGCGTATTTGTAAGTGGCCAACTTAATGTTTTTTACTAAAATTTACGTTTAAAATCAAGAAACCTACTGATTGCTTCAATTACTTTAACGAAAACGTAAATATTAGGGCTAGAAACATTAAGTTTGCCGCTTACTGTATGTAAAAAATGTGCGCATGAAAAAAAAAAAAAAAAAACCTTAAATTCCCTACTTTTCTGCTGGAAATTGGAGAATGGTTTTAAAATTGTTTGTAGATCTCGATATCTACTATCGATATCTGCTTTCAATATATACTATCGATATCTTCTTTCGATATATACTTTCAAACTTTCGATATCTACTTTATGATGTTACACTACTTCTGTATGCTATATAAATTGCATATCATTATGTTCCTTTCCACTGTTGTTTCTACAAAAAAATGACTCGGGCTATTTTTTATTGTGTGCCATCTAAGCTAAATGCTTAAATAACAGTATGTTTTTTAATTGTGTTATTTTTAAATTATAATGCATGTACAACTACTAAATATAACGATGTGCTATGAAAAAATATTTAAAAATTAACTCTAAATTGTTTGTGTAATTACATTTCTAATAGAACTTGAATAACCAATTAAACAACATTTCATATAGGTAGTTATTTTTTTTTTTTGTCGTAAGAAATTATCATTATATACAGGGTGACCTTGATGAACCAAAGATAATTAATATTACCTATTGTATTAACTGGTATTAACGATAAATAAGAATAGACCAATAAATTATAAAAGTGACCCTAACAATTTAAGTATTCATTATGATGATGTTAACAGAACAAAAATAAATAAATTAGTTGGAAAATGACAAAGAAATATATAATGATCCAAAAATTGTAAATAAATATATTAAATAATAATTAGAATAATACTAAATAATTATAACTGAAAAATATAAATGGAAATGTGATGACAAATAAAGAAAGTTGAGCAATAAGATTAAAAGAGCAAAGATAAACTTGTCATTTTTTTAAAATACATTTTTCCAATTTGTACCGAATAATATTACACTTGTCATGAGAAACATCCTAGCATATAAACCAATTTAGGAAAATTATCTATATTAAAACCTCATGTCTATATCACGCCTGAATTTAGAGGCTTATTAATTTAAATAATTTTGATAACTGTTAGCTCAAATTTAACATTTTTTTTTTTGCAATTTGAAAAAGTCCTTAGCTTAAGAAGGACCATCGGTTCAAGAACGATGACTTTGCAACAGAACGGAATTGCCTGAACGAGTTGCGTCATCGCTGTAGCTCGACGGTTGCGTAACCAGCAGATTGGAGGGGCTGGATTCCCTCCCTCTAGCAGCCATACGTTATATTGTAGCTTATATTATAGATTACATTGTAGTTTATATTATAGATTATATTGTAGGTTATATTATTGGAGATCATACCATCCCTGCCGAGAGAGAGCGCGATGTTGGCCCAGAGGTCAGCCCTGACCTTGCGGTTCTTGTAGTCCTCGTGGCGGAGGTCGTAGAGGGCGGGGAACCGCCCCACGGCGCAGACGAGGGCCTCGTCCTGGGCCTCGGACAGCCTCTGATGACCCCTCTGGTGGTGGTGGTGGTGCATCCTCTCGAGGTGCATCTTCTCGTGGCCTGAGGACGTCCGGGCGCGGCCGCGGAGCTGCCAGCAATGGGCCGCTGCGGCCGCCGGGCGCGGTCGGCCCCACCGCGCATGCGCCCCGCCGCACGGTCGTCCTAGCTGCCCTCCAATCGCCATTCCCGCATCTTTCACAATGCCGCGTCATAATGCCAAATAAGATACCACACTTCCCATTTTATATTATTTGATTAATCTTGTTGAAATCAAAATCTGACTTCACTCCTCATGTAAATAGAATGAACAATTACTTTCAAGGCCTTTCATGGCTCCCTTTTAATTTTGTAATGTATTATAGATATATATCAAATTTTATTTCCAAAATAATACCACATCTCGAATAATGATGATTAATATGACTATGGAAGAAAAGTTACACAAATCTGAATTTTACAAATTTTACGTCACATTGTCATGGTAACTAATCTGATACTGACTCTGAGAAGATATTACATGTTTTGAGCAACTTCATGATAAGCTTTGATTTTGTCCATTTTTATAACTAATCTTATTTTTATAGTAAACTATCAGTGTCCATTTCCCATCAAAAGTTTTCAAATACGATCGTTAATAAAATTTGAATTACCTTATAAATGCTTGTTTTAATAATCTTGTCCCAATAACAATTTACATTTCATCTGATATTAATATCATAAGCGATGATAGCACGTAGTTGAAACGGAAACCTTTCTGCTCCAGGAAGTGCTTGCGAGATGGATAATTATTAACTGATGGCCGACGGCAAAGAAGAAATGTCTACGAACTTCTAAAAGCGATGGAAAAGAGAAATAAACTGAAAATAAGTAGAAGGAATCCTGAGAACGCCAATGGTATCCGTTATAACTAAATCTCGAATTGTTAGGATTTATCTTTTTCTTTCTGTTAAAGGAAAACAGAGTTTCAACAGATCTCCACCAATCTTGAGTAGAATATTTAAAAAACCGAATCCTATAGCATATTTTTTTATCATTTTTTTACCATTTCACACTAAAAAAATATATTTTGTAATTTCGCACAAAACAAATATATTATTTGCTCTTTATTCGTGGTACGCTAAACCAAATAACTAAGTACATAAAATTAATCAAAAGAAAAATAAACAGAATAATACTCTCATTATTTCCGAATATCTGCCTAGAAAACATTACTAAGTAATATCCTAGCAAGCAGATAATCTGCATTTTGAGTCTCAACAAGTTATCAATTTCCTATTTTGATTCAAGAATATGTTATGCTTATAATTGTATTTTTATTTTGATATTTTCATGTACATATAATAAGGAAAACAAAAAAAAAATCCTTGCATATATTACACGTATTAACAGATTCATTATAAATATTCAATATTACATTTGTTCGTTTTACAATAATTATGTTAAATTTTTACACAATCGTCCCCCCCCAATCAAAAGCCAGCTCCCTTGGACCAAAACCGGCTCTAAGTCATGATAATTATTATTATCATAGGTTTGTTTCGGAATCTTTGCCTCCACGCAGGGCTTTTATTTTTCAATTATAAATTTTTAACAAACATTTGTTTTTTGTGGCCTCAAAAATCAATCTGTCCAGTAATTTGACCATTCGAGTTGCCTTAATTTTAACAGTCATTTTTGTTTAGAGAGCCTTGAATATTAATCCAAGGCACTCTAATAAAAAATCTAAAAACAAAATATTTTGACAAAAATAATAGTGTCCTTTTCAGATTGAATGAAAAGGGCGAATGTAACGTGATTGCAGTAAAATCGTCATAGAATCGATAAAATTGCACCACTGTTGCGCCCCCCCTCATTAGGTACGCCACTAATGTCTAAAGCAGAACGCAAATCATCGGACAGTTTTGGATCTGACATGTTGTTCTGAGCTCAACATTGAGAGGGCGCAGGAAACCAAGCAAGGAGAACAGGAAGGATAAGCTGTATTAGCAACGGATAGTGCACATACCGTGCGGCCGAGGAATGACGTCATTTTTACCTCCTAAAAAAATTAAATTTATTTCGAAAGCTGTTTTATTATGCAATATTTGAATTTTATTTAATTCGACATTTCTCTAAAATATAGTTGGTTTATTGATAGAATAAAAGTGATTATTTCAATATGCTTCGTATACTTTTTTAATTTGTGACAAGCGGCGAGTGCCCATTAAGATCGGCCACCCTAAGGCCGGCACTGTGCACGTTGCCCTTTTACATCTTTTCTTCATAAACTTCGATGCCCTTGGAGCTATTTTTACTTTCACTTACGTATATATATGAAATATACAATAAAGGAAAGTATTGCGATCGTGAAAATTTTCGAATCGCAGCTTACAACGGAAATACACGTTTTGAGATCCATGAATCCAAATAACGAATTCCCGCAAAATGGTTTGTGTGTTTATGCGTTAACAGCCTAGCTCAAAAATGAAAAGTTGTATGAAAGTGAAATTGCATATTTAAGGCTTTACATGCTTGGTATGTTACAGCAAATTTTTCGTCAAGTGGCACTTCATATCATGGACTATAAACATTTTTACGATTTTCTCGAAAAATTCTCTAATGATTTGGAATAAATTCGTTATATCAATGTAAAATTAAGCAGTTTTAAATAAAATGTAGTTTTTATCCTGATTGATGTTCTCTAACAGGGCTTAAATGACAAATTTTCAATATTAGCCTCCTCTAAAGCACCTTTATGTTCTTATATTTAAAACAATTGACCATTTCATATTAATCTCTAATATAAAATATAGTTAAATAAATATAAATATGAAAGAATTTGTTAATTAACTAAAGGAGAAATAAAGATCGTAACAAAGAATAGTTGTAATGAAGAGAAGGATAGTTGGTGTGATCAGTCAAAAATAAAAATGCCAAAAATAAATAATATTTTAACATTTGCCGACGTTTCGACCCGAATTTCAAGCCTTCATCAGAGCTAATAAAAGAACCAGGTAACGATTGGTATGAGAAACAATGTAGGTAAAAAAAATTATTAATTTTTTTTTTTTACCTGAATTGTTTATGCTTCTCATACCAATTGTTATCTGATTCTTTTCTCAGTCCTGAACTTCGGGTCAAAACCAGACTTTTCCTCATCCTGAGGCCAGCACGTGCACTTCGACGTCGTCGAGGCCGCCCCAGCACCACCTGTCGGCGTGACCGTGGTACTACGCGAGTGGAGCTCCCACCAGAGGGCAGCACTACCACACTTATAGTTCGTGCTATTGCCTCACAGTTCTTTTTTTGACACCCTCGGATTATATTTAGTGATTAATGAATAGTTTGACATTGAAGTCGTATTTCAAACTTGTTAGCTCAGCATTTTTTACATCCTTTTTGATTGCATAATTAGATTTGCCGCAGTTTCTCCTCTAGTAGGTATTAATATATAAGTATAATGTCCATAATATACAGAAGAGGTATCCATATGCTGGATAAATTGATTCCGGCTAGATTACAACCACTTTGGTCTCATGAAGCAGGTAATCCTTATAAATTTTAATCATTTAAATAACAGAAATCTTAAGCCTCATCTAAAATTCACATAAATTATTATATTACTTCTCAATATCTTGGAAGGTAGATATAGAATGTATTGTGATCTATCTTCTATGCAACAGGTAGTTTTGTAAAATGTTTTGAAACTTGTTTGTCTAGTTATTTATCTGTTTTTTGTTTGATTTGTTTTTAAAGGACCAAAAACCATTTTCTTTTGGGCACCTGCAGTTAAATGGGTAAATTATTTTTTTTTTTTTTACAATTTTTGAATGGAATGACTTTATTTTTACCTTTGGGGTATTTTTGAAGGGTCTGGTTATTGCTGGAATCGGGGACCTGACGAGGCCTATTGAAAACGTTAGCATATCTCAATCAGCTGCGCTGTCTGGAACAGGTGTTGTCTGGGCGAGGTATTCCCTCGTCATCATACCTAAAAACTGGAGTCTTTTTGCTGTTAATATATTTGTTGCTTCATCCGGAATTTATCAGTGTGTGAGGCGTTTCAGGTATTTTTAAAATTTATTTTATTGGTACTCTGTAGTAATGAGCTCACAAAGTTAATATTATATCTATCTTGAATTTAAATATAAACCATAATAATTATTAAATATTTATATGAGTGAAAGGTACTAGGCCTTACTTTTTATACCTATATAAATAGAACTGTATCCTGTTTTATTTTTGCTTTCAACATACAATGATAACTCACAAAACGGGTCGAATATTTTGTGTAAAATTTGATGGAGCAACTAAGTGGAATGTACATTTTACAAATTTTGACCTATTAGTGATTTAACTTGGATATAAAACACATTGGCAGCCATTATATGATACATCTGTAGCCGTAATTTTCTCATTTTAATCTTATTTCGTAAACAAAATTTAAATTGCTTTATTTATGCTGTCTGGCAATATGCTTGCTGTATAATGTCACAAGGAAATCGCTTGAAATTTTTTATTATTTTAATTGATGATAATATGATTTTAACTAAGCTATGTATTTGCTAACTTGTGAAATCATTTAAACTTACTTAATTATCTATAAAATAATAAATTACTTTAACTTTATCAATGTAACTAGTTTTATGATTACTCATAATTTTTAATAATGATGATGTGCAGTGACTAGCAAAAGTTTTCATAAATGGATTGTTTGCTAATAACAAACAACAAGTCTTTTTAACTTATTTATTTAAATATAAAAGGTCGACTTCAATCCAATGTTTATTAATTTTCTTAAAAATATTTGCCTAATAGTAATAAATATTCTCTAAATATAAAATAACCAACTGACTGATTAGTGATTGGATCTTGGATACAAAAGGAATGTGCAGTCAGTATAAGATACATCCATGCTGGCTGTACCTTATGCCCTTCCCCTTGAGGAATGGGCAAAGATGTCATGATCACATGATCACATGGGATAACATTATTATTTTATGAAAAAAGCAGATGATTTACTTGTTCAGAGTATAACCTCCCTTTATTTAGATTGTGATTTACAACTTTGTCAAACTCACAACTGCTCCTTTTCAGTTAAAATCAGGGCCTTAATTTGATTTAATTCTATCGCTGGATTCCTCTCCTGCACACTATACTCGCTCTAAAGGGATAAACAAACACCCCACGGGCCCTTTTTAGTTGAGGTCACTTAACACAAGTTTCGGACTCTGTGTGATTACGAGATCTTGTCACATCAACCAAAGTGGAATGACACTTTTACATTAATACCCAGTAATGATTTACTGGCATCTTTTCTTTCTTCTAATCCAAACATTTTATTCTATAGATGATTTGAGTTTGTTCAATATTTTATTTTGAAGTTAGTGTAAGCGTACTGTACCTATATCTTCTCATTAATGTATCTTCTTGAAGTAACTGTTGAATTTACTTTTATGAAAAGTAATCTCTTACTGCACTGCATATTATAAAATAAAAACTTGTTTTATTGGTGACCAGTCATCTAGAACTTATTAAATAAAAACGTGCATTGCATTTTCTTTATATTTATTAATAAATTGTCCTATCTTTAAAGATATTGGTCTATAGCAAGTTTTCTTTCTGTGGTTAATTGCTTGTAATTTGGCTATGATTAGTTATAAATTAATTTAAATGTAAAAGAAAACATAACGATGAGTGACATATTTGATAATTACTGTTTGTATCTGAATTTTTTAGTTTAAACTTATTTTATTGAGAAAAAAAAAATACATTTTACCTCAATTAAGGGCATTGAGTATTTGGGATGAATGAAACACAATCATACTATATATACATAAAACAAAAACGATAAAAAAATTTAACAAAAGAAAACTTAGAATAACAGAATAAATCAAACATGAGACATTTAATAAAAAAAAAAAAAAAAAAAGAAAAACACATACATACTTATTTACAATATTTACAGTCAGCCAAGGGAGCCAGGAGTATGGGCCCTTTCCTCCACCTGTGGAGGATAAGGCAAGACTCCAAGACATCCCAGCGCTTCTCTCTTAGCCAAATCACTGAGATGGGAATCCAGTGGAAACTAAGAGAGGGCCATAGGTCCAGATAGGTTTTAGTATGGTCTTATACAGTAATAGTTTGTTTTCAATTGAGAGGTTAGATTGTCTACTAATTAGTCTGTATACCTGCCCATATCATCGGTTAAGTTCTTGCCTTTTAAGTCTGGTATGTGGGTTCCATGTTAGTCTTTTGTCTAAAAGGAATCCAAGATACCAAACTGTCCGAAATGAGAAGAGGTACAGAATTGAAAAGGATGTGTGGACAGGATCTGCATCGGAGGGCAAAGGTGACATGCTTGCATTTGGATTCATTAATTTTGATGCGCCAATGGTTGCACCATGAATGTTGCTAGAATAGAAGAGCATCTGAATTAGTAAAACAAGGATAATTTAAGTTTACATAAATTGGAAATGTTCCATAAACCAATACAAAATGTTGATTTGAGTTTTCTCACAATACGGTATTCAACTTGATGGCTGGTTTACAAGAAAATAGTCTACCTACTGCAAAAGGATCTTCAGGTCCACCGTAGTGAGCTTATACGATGACAATTTGTTATGAGTTATTATTCTTGTATGAGTGTAGTAAAGCTGTTGTGGTATGATCCGCCCTTGACTGAAATAATTTTAAACATAATTTTTGTTTGTCTCGTCTATCAAAATTTGAGGCAATGTTTCCAACTTAATTTTTGTGCTTGTAACTTAATTATAAACTTCTATTTTTTTAAATAATAAATTTGAAATTATTCCCTTGATTGTTTGAAAGAGCAATTTAGTTATTTGCATTTGAAACATTAAATTGATTTTATATTGCAGATATGAACAGGCCTTAAAGATGAAAGATGCTGAGATAAGCTAAAGACCAGAAGCTTTCAACAAGTTCTTCCAGATGTTAAATTAAAGTAGCGTTGGCAAAATAATCGTTTAGAGCTGTGTTCTGGAATATCAATCACCTAGCCCTTATTTTCTGTTTTACTTTGGTTATCAGAATCGTAGAACATATTAATTAGCCTGAGCTAAGTCTATTGACTATAATAATCAAATGATATCTTAGTAAAATATAATTTATATTAGCGCTCTGTCATCCTTGCCAATGGGCTTAATAAAGCTAGCGATTGGCCTCTGACGTACCATACGTTTGTATCTCTCCTGGAATAAATTTTAGTTTACCAATTATTTTATGATTGATAATATATATTATTAAAAAAAACAAAAAAGAGGTAAAATATGGAATATTTTAAAACTATATCATTTTAAATAAATTTTTAACAATGTACTACATTTACTATAAATTTATTTTTCATATAAACTAATTTATATAAAAAATGTAACAGCACAATTTTCTGTGATGAGGTTTCTATGGACACTAGAGTTGTTATTTTAGTTTAATTTTGGAACTAGGACAAGCAAGATTTAGATGTCTTGTGAATTACATGAAATTATTTTAAGTTAAAATGCTACTCTTAGGGCAGAACCGTACAAGGGACCAACAACCTGACTCCGTTGTCAAACCAAATAAATCTATTATAAAAGACTAAAATACTCTGTTATTAATTTATTTTTGTTACATTTTATATAATCATATAGAATTTTAATGTTATATTCTACCTAGTTAATTGTTATATATTGTGGTGATATATATTTTGTTATACAATTGATACAAACTTCTTATTTATCTGTTACAAATAAATTTGTTTGAAAATTTTTAAAATTATTTTTCTTTTATTATAAAAATAAAACCTGTACGACTACAACCTATGAAGAGGGTCTTGGGTTCAGTGGTATGTGAGAATGTACTCATACAAGGCCAATGGCTCTGCAAGGAGGTGGTTTGACCAAGATCATGCTCAACCGCCAGGTTTTCTCCCTTATTATTTAATCAAGGGTACCCACTTTATAGAGGCTGGGTGTGCCCCAAGATCGATCCTCGAACGATGAAACAGAGTAAATAATTTATCTACCATAAGCCGGTTTCAAACCCGAGACCTTAAGCATTAGAAGATCAGCGCCCTACCACTGAGGTATCCCCATTCCCTTACCTATTATAATACCTTTAGGAAAACTGTTGGCGTTTCTCCATTTGACATGTTCCTTTCTCTTTAGTATAATAAAAGTTATAAAGGAAGGAAATGGTCCGGGGTGGCGGTCATAAATAGGCTAAATAGTGGCAAAACTATTTTATTAAAAGCCAACGTTTAGACCTGACTTGCCAGTTCTTCTTCAGGGAGGTGTGTTCAGCTAAGAGTTTCACTTAAAACTCGAGTTTTACAATAACACATCTCCCTGAAGAAGAACTGGAAAGTCGGGTCGAAACGTTAGCTTTTAATAAAATAGTTTTGCCTATTTATGACCACCGTCCCGGACTATCTCCTTCCTTTATAATGCAACGGTCAACTATTAAATATTCAAAATAAAAGTTATATTTTTGTATTTAAGATACATTTTTATAATTCTACATCTCTTAAAGAATAATATCATGCATTTAAAGCATACATTTATAATAAAAACAAATAATTGTTATCAAACTAAATGCAACCAAAATGAACTACTATATGGACAAAGATCAAGAATCGATCGGACTCAGCTCATAATCTGCAAGATTCGAAATGGTGTGTAAAACTGCTGCTGACTCTTAACTTGAATATAATAGTTGAGCAAAATTTTTTTTATATAATTTATCTTTTTTTTCATCCTTTATTGTTAGAGGATATAAAACTTGTGGGATTTTTAATAAACAACTAATTTGGTCAATTAATTTCTTTTGATCAATTAACTGTTCTCTAGACATAACACAGAAATTGGACTTAAGATTCCACGTACAGGATAACTATAAAATGGGGATCACTCATTAAAGTGTTTTTTTATAAATTTCAATGGCGAGAGAGGGCATAATAAATTCAATAGAACAGTCAACCGACTGTTGGTATAGGCATCATTACTCCACACCTACTTATTAATATATTACTTTCCCTTAAGCTACTATTTTTCTCACCTCATTTTACAATATACAATCTTTTGTAAATATATAAAAATAAATTTGCTTTGACCTGGTGTCAATAAGCTTATTGATGAATGACATGGTGCCATACTGAAGACCAGACGCTATCAATGATGCCAAAAAAGGAGGAGCATTACACTACCTTTGAATAGAATTACTTTCTGGCACAATTAGATTATTGCCAACTCTTTGAAGTCCATCTTTAATGCAGCCAAACCTTTAACAACACACTTTTCAATTGTATTCATATTTATCAGTAATAAGTATTCATTGAGGCCATCAATATATTACAAATTTTTACATCAATGAGGGGCAGGAAAAATCCTGCAACTCCATCAGTCTATTTTAAGATACACCAAAGAGTTCAGCTCACAGCCTGCTCACAAAAGCATATAAACATTACACCATCAAAGCAATTCAATAGCATTTCACTTTCTGATTTAGAAAAAACCAATTTTTTTAAAGATTGTTTACAATACCTAATGCAATAAAACATTACAATTGATTTAAATTGAAGCAATATCTCTCAAATTGTTTTTTCTCAACTTCTAAAAATAAAATAAGCCCCTCTTTGATATGAGACCCCTCTATTCTGACATCAACTTCCACCATCCCCAAGTAACTAATTAGAACACATGTTAAAGTATCGATAATATTTTAAATAAAATTAGTGTCAATTCACTGAAATGCAGTAAATATTTTCAAAGAGCTACCAAAAATAAAATTTTAGCATGTCGAAATTATACTCGCGTATTTGTGGAGTATTGGAGAAATTTGTTCCCAGCAGCTTGAAGCCTTTATGGAACCACCCCGCAGGTGAGGAAATCAAACTTTTTGGTTTATTGTTATAATGCAACAAGCAGTGATAATATATCTTACTTCAATATAATTTCATCTGATTACAAAATAACTGTTACACACACTAGCGGATCCAGGATTTAATTTTTTTTTTGGGGGGGGGGGCTTCAGCCCGAAAGCTTTTTTTTCATATATATACAACGATAATTAATTTGAAAAAAAAAAAAAGAAATTCATTACCTAAATGAAATGGTGTTTAAGTGGTTCTTGAAGTCCTTTTAATGTAATTACACGAACAAGAACACTTTAAGAGATAGTTTTTTCTAAAAAATATGGTTATAATTTATCATTCTGGAGGGGAGGAGGCTTCTGCCCGAAAGTACCCACCTCATAAATTTCGCCATGAAACCCCCTTGTGGGTTGCCTTGGTACAACCAATCTACCGAAAATCAACTTAGCCAAGGAAACAAATTATGCTGGTTTTCTTGCCACTTCTCTGTAATGCTGTGGTTCGATTCCAGGTACAGGCGGATCTACGGGGGAAGGGGAGACCTCCAAAATGGTAATATATAACCATGTCTCATGAAAAAAATATTAAAAACTTATCTAATAATAAAGTATTATTACTTGTGAAAATTCCATTTAATAGTATTTCAAGATTGTACCATTCACTAATATACCATTTCATATAGTTTGTTTCTTTTAAAACATATATGGCCGAAATCGAAAGTAGAACGAATATCGTAAAAGTTAACGAATACAGCGACAACATCCTGCTCATGGTGGTACCTATCCTTAATTTCTTGGTTTAAACACAAAACTTGATTCGTGGTGTTCCCATTGCTTATAAAACTTACCTGTTCGGTAGAAAAGAGACTTACAAGTGGATTGGGTTATAACTTGGGGGGGGGATGAGCAATCCACAGGTTCATACTTTTTAAGAATAGACACGATTTCATCCTTCCTCTAGCCATCAGGGAAGTACCATTGCCATATACTTTTGAAAAAGGTCGTTAATTTGTTCCTGGCAGCAGGGCTCAAGTTGATTAGAAGTTCAGGAAAGATGTCATCACAGGCGGATCTACGTGTGGGGGGAGGAGCTTTCGGGCTGAAGTTCCCCCTCCAAAATGGTAAAATATAACCATGTTTAAAGAAAAAAATTATCTCTAAAAGTATTATTGTTCGTCTAATTACATTTAATTGGACTTAAGGAATCATTTAAACATCATTTCGTATAGATAGTTAGTTTCTTTCTTTCTTCCGAAGTAATAACTCTAATATATACATACAAAAAAAAATCTTTCGGGCTGAAGCCCCTTCAAAATTAAATCCTGGATCCGTTAATGGATGTCATCTGGGCTAGAACTTCTTCGCTTCATAGTAGCTCACGCTGCCATCACGTGAACATGTTGGGAGATAGTTTTCAACTTTTTAGCTTTTGCCTTTGGAAGAAAATTACTCACGGCTGCATAGTGTTTACAGAGTCAAAAGTTAGGCCAACTTTTCCCTTCTTGATTGGATTTCTTCCGAGGAGGACGATCATTGTTCAATTGGGAAATAAACCCATGTGTTTTAGGCTACTTTCAATACACAAGTAGAATAATTTGCTACATATGCTCATTATAAAAGCAATATGTAATGCATTACAAGTATTCAAAGTTAAATTATTAACACTACAAATTCCATAGTAGTTTAAAACATTAACAACTGTATAATACAATTTAAGTTTTTTTCCCCTTGGTTACCAGATACAGTCCAAAGAAGCAGGAAATACTTAAATATTAGTTGAAAATTATTGTTGATACCATAAACCTTTTCACCCTCAAAAGAAAACAGAATTAAGACAGTTGAAATATCTAAATGTAAAGTATAAGCGCGGGTGGACGAAAAGACAATAGACAGAGGTGATCGCAAAATCATCTTGAGCAAGTCTTTTGATATTGTCTCGTCCAGTTGAGGCACACACACACAAAATCACCTTTTTTGTTTTTCTTTCTCCTTTTCTCACTACCTCACCTTTTCGGTTATACAGATTTCGCTGGATAAGGAGAGAGGGCGGGGTATCGATGTCAGAATTAAATTATCCGGCAACGAGACTGGAACTCGTAATGTTCACTTTATCCAGTTGCTGGGCAAGCTGAGTCTTGCACAAGCCGTTGGCCACCTCTCCTTCCGGGACCAAGTGTTCCTTCAGTTACCGTTTTCCCACTAGTTCCTCCCGACCACTAGCTCTTAAACTTGTGTTATACCTCCTAATACCCAACAGGCTGAGATGGTTCCTGGCTCGGGGGAAGGAAAACCCTAAAATGACAGTTGATATTTCTCCTTGGTAGGACTTGATAGTCTGCTTGTTGTCTCAGCAACCAAAACTAATCTCTTACGTTTTACATCTACCTATCGGCGCATTGGTTTATTACACAACAAATTTGAACATTGAGTTTTAAATACCTTTTGGTAACCTGATTTTTAATCTACTCGTCAGATAATTCGGAGCAATGCATATTGTTAACAATGTTAAGAAATTAAAATTAAGTTGCGTAAATTTTTCAAATCTATTACATATTTCAATATGTCATTTGGCGCCTAATAACGTATTCCAGAGGTCTCTAAGCAACTGCCCGCAAGTGTTACTTTGATTAAAGCGTAAAAATTATGAAATTTAGCAAATTACTCACACAAGAGGTTACACTAAACCATTTATATCATGTTTTTGTTCTCTTAGAAAGTCCATTTAACAACTCAAGTATTATTCATCAGCTGCCATAGCCCGCGGGACTGTGGCCTCCACGCGAATCACAGGACTTAGTGGAGGTATCGATATGACCCGCGGACAGACAAGTTTGGAGGCAGCTGATGTATACTAATAATTGTAAACGACTGACATTGTCAGGTATCAGCTTGTAATGTAAACTGGAAGAAGATCTATGTTTCAGGACCTAAAACAATATTTTTCTGGGCTCCCGCTGTGAAATGGGTGAGTTGCGGTATCATTGTTGATTATTGATATAATGATGGCCCGTGCTGTGTGACTTATGATACCGTTGCCACGGCAGGGGCTGGTGGTGGCGGGGCTGGGCGACGTCCAGAGGCCGGTGGAGAAGGTGAGCGCCAAGCAGTACGGGGCCCTCGCGGTCACCGGCCTCATCTGGTCCAGGTACTCCGTGGTCATAGAGCCCAAGAACTGGAGCCTCCTGGCCGTCAACCTCCTCGTCTCCCTCACCTCCGGCTACCAGGTCGTCAGGGCGCTCAGGTATTTCAATTCCTTCAATATATAATTGTGCCAAGTTGGCTGAGTAAAACATCTTCGCCATTACTATTGGTAAATAAATTACTTGTATTTATAATTTTGCCCAAGAATACAATTTACAGAAGGCGTTTTTAGGAAAAACTTATTTTTAATCCAAATAATTGGATGGAATTTGATCAATCAAATTTATACTGGAACACTTAGGTATCAAGGCTCACAAACTCAGAAAATTTCATCCAATATAATGAAATGCAAGATGTGTGCGTTGTGCCAATCCATCCGTTAGATTATATAATGAATACAGTTTAGAACTTTTTAATTTAATACAACAAGCACATAAATTAAACTTTATTTTCTCTATAGGCTCCTAAACTATATATGAAACATAGCGCGTCCCTTTATTCAAGGCTTGAATGACTGACTCAGCGGTTCTCCTGTTATTAAGTTGTTTATTTTTGGGGAACAATATGGCCAAGCCCTGTAAAGGCGTGCGCCTTACCCAGCGACCTGATAACTGAATTCGAGATAATAAAATAATTTCCAGTTGGTGCCCCAGTGCTGCTGGATTTTTTTAACTTTTATTCCTCAGCACTCAACCCTGCCCAGAGAAAATCTCTTATAGCCTAAAAGGCAGGGTAGAGAAGGACAAAAAAAAAGGTTCATGTTTAAATAATTGTAACATTAAAATATTTACTATAATTAATTAATAGTAGCTTAAAAATTAATCACTTTAAATCTCCAAAACAAAATTATAATTGAAATTCGAACAAATCTTTATTGATAAAAATAAATTATAAAAAAATTGACTTATTAATCATTTTATATGTATTGAATACTAATAAGTACATTTTTATAATTAAAATTATTAACCTCCTGCACTTTAATATTTCTATTATTTAAACTAAAATTTATAATTACAAAAATATTATCAGGGTTTTCTCACATTTACTGGATATAAATTATCTAAAACAAATTTACTTTTTTTCAATTTTTGGTTTATCCATTAATTGAAGAGGTTAATTTATACATTTTTTGATAATAAAGATTTCAATATGATTTAGGTAGCATGAGTCTAATCACTAATTAAACATTACTGTTTCATTCTTTATTCTCTTATCAATAGATCATTTTTGGAAAACCAATCGTTGTAGGGTATATTACTTGTAAACTTTTAAATTATTTAGATGGTATGAATTTGTCCCAACAAAAACAAATCAAAAAGATTAATTTATATGTTATTGGAAAGTTATTTTTTCTAAATATAATAAATTAACATAAAAAAAAATGATCAAGCCGTAGTCCAAAAATTAATAATATTTTAAAAGGAAGGAGGTGGTCCTGGGTGGCAGTCATAAATAGGCTAAATAGTGGTAAAACTATTTTAATAAAAGCCAACATTTCGACCCGACTTTGCAGGTCTTCTTCAGGGCTAGAACGGACAAGATACAAACAGATAGAGAATTGTATGTAACTTCCACAATTCTCTATCTGTTTGTATCTTGTAAGTTACATAATATTTAGACAAAAAAATATAAACAATGTTAATAAGCTTATTAAAATTATAAACAGTAAGTAAATTAAAATATTAACAGAGTAAGCTTAGTAACAAGATGCTAAACTAAAGTCAATAGATGGTAACAATTGTTGTAGTGTAATATATAATATATGTAAATGTGAATATACTTCTACAGATCTTTTGGTGATAAAAGTTGAGTAGTCTGCCTGAGTATGGGTGTTTAGTGTACCAGTCAGTGTTTTTTATTATTAGGAGGTCTAAGAAGGAGAATGAGTTGTTAACTTCTTCCTCTATAGTGAAACACAGACGGAGGAGGGGGGGAGGGGGTGGTAAGAGTTAAATGAGGAAGAATTTGAGGGAGCGTTAATATTGGAGATGATAGGGCAGAGGGGATTTCCAGGTTTGTGAATTTTCGGGAGTCCATATAAGCGGGGTGCTAGGGAGTTGTAGGATATAAGGTTGTAGTAAGTGGAACGGTTAATTTGTTTGGTCTCAAGTAAGTTTTTAATGTGTTGGTTGAATTTTAACATTAGTGTACGGGTCGGGTCACGGGAGGAGGGTGCGTAAGTTGTTTGGTCTGAAAGTTGTTGGTGCATTTTATGCGTGTATTCTGTCTTGTCCATAATAACGGTTGAATTTCTCTTATCAGCCTTAGAAATGATGAGGTGGTCGTTTGTTTTCAGAAAAGAGCGGGCTGAGGATAAATCTGTAAAAAACAGGGGAGATAAAGGGGACGAACAGGATGGAGGGTGGAGGGTGTTGGAGGTGGTTAGAAACTATGTTACTGATCCGAATACGGGATAAATCTTTCTCCTCTTCGTTAGCTCCGAATTTTAGCTCATATATCCTTTTTACTTTTCTTTCAATCCCTCCTGTAGATCTGTAGAAGTATATTCACATTTGCATATATTATAAATTACACTACAACAATTGTTACCATATATTTACTTCAGTTTAGGATCTTGTTACTTACCTTACTCTGTTTATATTTTACTTTACTTACTGTTTATAATTTTAATAAGCTTATTCACATTGTTTATAATTTTTTGTCTAAATATTATGTAACTTCCATTATAATATCATGTATATAATATTAGAGAATATTACATAATATTTTATAAAAATTCTCGATCTGTTTGTATCTTGTCTGTTCTAGCCAAGAAAACCTGCAAAGTCGGATCGAAACGTTGGCTTTTAATGAAATAGTTTTACCACTATTTAGCCTATTTATGACCGCCACCCCGGATCATCTCCTTCCTTTATTATGCAACAGTCAACTATTAAATATTCAATAATATTTTAAATACTTTTTTGACACACAATCACCTTTCTTCCAAATTTGAAGTTTTTAAGACAGAGAGGAGCGATAATATGGAGTGCACAAACAGACCGAATCACCGTTCCTTGATAACCGTTGACAAAAAAAACCGTTCCTACGTCAACAACACATCTACACCAGGTGTCATTTCTCAACTCAGCATAAATAGCTGTATATCAATCAGATGGATTCAATCAATTAAGTTATCAGCGCTCAGTTCAACAACTTGCCTTATTTACTGCATATTTAATGGCTTAAATCAAATTCATTATATTAAACAAGTCATCACCCTTATATATTTGTGGTTATCCAATAAAAAAACTATTTTTAAATTTAAAAAAAAAATTCAAAAATTTCTAATTTTACAGAGGTACAATTATGAATTTTGGGGTATCTGAATTTCTAGAAATAGATTTTGGAGCTTGAAGTTTCAGCTTAACACACGAATACTTCCCTGTTTGTCCAGGTACCCACAAATTAAAAACTGGGACACTCCATTATTTTATTGGAAAATCTCAGGCCACCATATGTGCAAAGAAACCAGATTCCAAGTTCTTTGAAATAATCTGATAGTTGATATAATTTCAACAGAACCACAGTTGTTCAAGCGGTACAAATACCTCACATAGTTGCTGTGTTCACATAGTTCCCTCTGATCTGCGATTCAGTTTTTAAAAAATTAAACTTTCCACTAAGATATTACACATTGGTTTGAAGTCACAATAAATAAAGCCAAGATATTAAGCATGTTAAAGTTTCTTTAATAGAGGTCTGGTTTCCCATGGATAACTATAAAAGTTGCCTTATTTAGATCTGTCATAGATCAAAACAGTATGTACCAGTATGTCGATGTGTACTAATAACAAACAAAAAATATTGTTTCTGTTTATATATTAAAGCAAATCTTCCATTGACAATTATTTTATTAATTTTTTGTTATTGGTAACAATATAATTAGTTTAAAATATATATACTGTAATGTACACCTTTATTGAAAGTGGGTAAAAAGTGTTTAATACATTAATGTTGAATAGTTAATAGGCAAGCTAATCTAGTTCTACTAGTTCCAGTAAAAGAAAATAACTGCTCTGTAGTTTTCCCGAAAAGGAAAATCCCAAAGAGGGGAAGGAACAAAGGATATGTTTTGGCTAGAGTTGGTGTTTGGCTGAGGTGAAGAGAGAATGGGAGAAGTGATCCTGGCTCCAGTGGGTAAAAGCCCAATAATAGTACTACCATCTTGGAAGTTGTGTTTGGCAGAAGATCGGAAAGTATTTCAAGACGAGTGAATTTAAATTTAGTGCAACAAAGGAAGAAACAGTATCTATAGAAAAAAGGTTAGCTTGCCAATCCAAAATATTTGACTTTATTTTAAAATCAAACAGTGTTTAGTATAGTTAATTTTAGTTTGTCTGAGTGTTTTGATTTGATTGTCAGTAACATATACCTAAGATAAATAAATATATTAATACTCTTATAATTTTGTTTATTATTTAATAACCTCTTATTTATTTAGGAAGTATCCTAATAGTATTAAAGTGATCTTTCGAGGTTATATTATTATTATTATTATTTGTAAAATATAAGAGAGATGTTACAATACATAGAAATAGAAATGTTAACTATACATACATAGAGAAGACTGTTCTCACTACTTCACTTTTCCAGTTTCCCCAACCTACCTCAACATGGGCATCAGTAATGGACCGAGTCATAAAGTCATGTTCAAATATAAGAGGTAAATGGGGATGAAATAACTTTTTCAATTAAGATATATAAAGGTTTTGCTTGATTTTTAAATTAAAAAAATTAATAAGAGAACAACCATAGCTCAAACAAGGGAGTACAAATGACAATAGAAAGTGAATACTTTTGTTTTATTGCGTGCAGAATTTCGGTTATTAGTACCATTAGTGGATTCAAGATCTAATTTTGAGAGAGAAGCTTTTTATTGTTTTTTCTATAATGTTAATTATGCTGGAAGAAAAAAAGAAATAAATAAACTATATGAATTAGTGATTTTTGAAGGTTGTTAAAAGAAAAAATGTACAGAAGCAATAATACTTTTTCCTGACATGTTCTTACATTTAGTAACTGTATATGCTTTATAATTAAAAAAAGATTAGATAAGGAAGTTTGAATCGTTGTTGGTGACCCAGTGGAATGAGGCATGGAGGAGCTGCCCCTCTAAACTACTCCAGGTAAAAGAAAACAGCATAAAATGGGGCACTAGCTGCCGAAGATCAAGGCGAAAGGAAATAATATTGTGCCGCTTCAACGTAAAGTAACGCTCGCTACAGAAAAGTAATAAAAAGTGCAGCTGAGCTGAGCTGAGCGTAGCGAGAAGGGATCAGCAACCGATTGCTTTAGTATACATAACATTTATAATATTTTTTAAAAAAATAGCAAAGATGATCATGTCGGAGCTAAAGAGAAAAATCGAATATTTGTGTATAAAATAGAATATTTTTTCTTATATATTCGATTACGAATTCTTTAATATCCACTGCATATTTTATACTGAACCAAAATAAAATAATCTGAGAGGTTGTGCAGTATGCACCAATAAGAAAAAAAAACTGAAGTTGAGTTTCAATATACTAAAAAACAAGGAAACTGGTGTCCAATCTCTTATAAAAGAAATCAAGTTTTACCAACGAGTGTATAAATATAAGAAATGCCAATGACCCTTCGGGGTAGAGACATTACAAAAAAAATAAAACAAAAAAAAAAAAAGTGCTTAAGTATTTATTTAGCTCAGATCATAGAAAAAATTAAAGACCAATCAAAAAAATTACTTTTCAATTTTTTAGGGGGGGGGGGAGAGGGACTTCAGTCTGAAAACAACGCAGTAGATCAGTGGTAATTACAATTTTTAATTTGCTATGACATTGATAATTTCATATCGTTCAAACATTATTGATTATACGAAGAATATGTTACTTGTCAATACAATGCATTTCAGAAACATCTATTTCTTAAAAATTGATTATTGGCCACGATGAAGATCTAAAATGTGGGGACAAATAAGATACATAACTACTGTATATATATCATTTTAACAGCCCCCAACCACCATCTTAATTTTAGATCCCCACATTAGTAAAGTTGATGTTAACTATTATATGCAATTAAACATCTCTTTGTCATTACAGAGCATGAAAAACATATTTAAAACAAAATACTTTTTTTTTTAATGAGATGAATGCTGTTTGCAGAGTCACATTGCCTCTGGATATCTGAGTTTGGACTTTCTACTAACCTTATTTATCTATTTTATTCTCCTTTCCGTTGTATTTATTTATTTGGCACCTTTTATTATAAATAAGCCGACCTAAATTATAACTCTTCCTCATATATTATAAAAAAATAAGTATAAATTAAATAATTTTTTTTAATTTAATAAAATCGAATAGTAGATACAAGAGCTCTTTCTACCAGGTCAGCTTTTTCCTTGCCTGCCTCTCTTCCCTTTTTGCTAAATAAATTTCAGATGTTATTCATTTAACAGGATACAGTAAATTTAACTTTGGGCCACAGCAACTTTATTATATTACTTAATTGTTGGTTACATTGTAATTAGTTATTTAGTTTCTTACGTTATATTACTCCATTGTTTAGATCCTTATGTTGCAAATATGTAAAATGAAAATAAACTTATGATATGGGTTGCTTTGTTCGCTACACCAAGGGAACCTTCCTGTTCATAATACATTTTAAACAAACAATATTTGAATTTGGAGAATAGTAACACTTATCGTTTACTAAGCTACTTGATATGTATTTTTGTCTCAATTAAGTTTTATTGTACTTTTAAGCACCTTTCTATAATGTTACAATTTCCTAGCTTGATTTTTTAATATTTAATCCTCAATAAATTTATCTTGAAGGTACCAAATGAGTAATGCTGAATCTAATGACCCAAAAAAGAAGAAATAACAAGGTGCTTGGGTGCCTCACGACTCCTAAGATGAAAACAAACAATAAAATGTTTCTGGACACACTAAAATTATTAACTAACAGTATTCTGCTAAGGCTGTTGGCACGCTGTACTAATACTAATTACCAAATCCATGTCAGAAAACTAATAATAAAATATTTATCACTCCATAAAATTATATTAGGTGATCTGCAGTTGAAATAAAATGAAGACTTTACTTGATAAAAATAAAGCATCATTAGTAATAAAGTTATTAATCCCTGGTACAGACCCCTTTTTATCAAATTAATAACAACCAGCTGAAACTTTGTAGATAGCTTAATCGCATTGTAGCCTACAAATTTTTTATTTAAGAAAATTTTTGGAATTGGGGCGTTTTCAATCTGGAGGTCAGCAAACTTTGTCTATTTAATTAGGTTCTAAAAAGTCGTAAATACCCATTTCCTTTCAACTTGAATTGTAAGATAACTTGAGCACAAAATCGAGAAAAAAGGTGGCCTTCAAAAATATTGAGCAGTTTGGCCTATATAATCTCGTTATTTTGGCAATTTGGGGATGTAGGTCACTCCAAACGGCTCAATATTTTTGAAGGCCACCTTTTTTCTTGACTTAGTTATCTCATGATTCAAGTTGAAAGGAAATGATTATTTACGAGTTTTTAGTAGCTAATTAAATGGAGAAAGTTTGCCATCTCCAGATTGAAAACACCCCAATTCCGAGAATATTCGTAAATAAAATATTTGTAGGTAACTATGAGATGAAGCTATTTTATGAAGTTTTAGCCGGATGTTAATAACTTGTCAACTGTACCATGAGCTATATAACCAGATTAATATCAGCCAAGATATAGAAAATAACAAATAATAGATTTTGGCCACAAAGCTGCCTCGCTAAAGAGATAAGGCAAGTGAGCTACATGACCTGTAGCTGTAGTAGCCCAGATGCTCTCTCGGCATACCAGCTATTGTTGATATCTTGATTAGTGTTACCATAACAATCAGCAGTTGTTAATTAATTGTTGCTCTAAAATATGGACAATATTACTCGTAGTATCCTTCCTCTTACGGAAGAGATTATCGAGCAAAAGTAATAAGATCAGAGTAATGAATAACCAACAGTAATGAACATGTACCAACAGAAATAAAAATACCATTTATAAATTTAATAAGTTTACAATAAAAAATTGAATGATGTAAATATATAAAAACTTATCAAAATAACAATAATAATAATAAAGGAAAAGATATGCATAACATTAGTTAGAGAAAAAATAAAGATTATTAAGGTCTGTGACAGTAAAAAAGTAGCAATGTTACAAACAATGCTCTATGTAAACTAACTTATATAATTAATTTAATGGACTAATAAGTTATAAAAAAAAAAAAATATTACTCCATCAAATGAAGACAGGTCAGTTTAATCTAAAAAGATCAGTTGTAAATCTAAATTCACTAATGACAACTTCTTATATTTCTGTTTGCAATTTTGCAATTATTATAATGTTATAATCATATATCATATAGATCCAACTGATCGCAATAAACTATTTTTATTTCTAAATTTGGTTGTTATCATTATCCTTACAAAATAATGTTAAATCAAATCACATTTCATTAAATATTTTAGATATATTAAACTGAACAATTTGAAATAGTTCAACTTACACATTTAAAACCTCAATCAATGAAATGAGCACATTAACTGAAAGACATTTTTTATTACAAATAAAATTAACAATTTGATAAAAAATAAGTGACACCTCATAACTGCCAAAAAAATTCATGTGTTGAAATCAATAATGAATGTCATGAAGCAGGTGAGGCCCATCTGTCTGTAACGCAGATTTTCATACCATCTAGTATCTGATGATCAATCAACTTTTCTTGAGACAACTCGTATTATCACTAAAAACAACTGTCGAGAAATTGAAAAATACTGTTGTATTTTGATATGGTTTACCTCCTTAGAGTCATCAAAAATACACACAAACTTGAACAATTTTAAGATTGTGTTTAATACAGTTTTTCACAACAGCAAATCAGTTTTTTTGCAAATATGAAGTATTACTTTTTAGTAATCAAATTATTAATAACATTAAATAGTATATTTTATCCAACTCCATTTCACTATTATTACCTAAACATATAAAAAAAAATTATATAAGCAATAAATATATTCGATTACTCGATCGATAGCATAATTAGTACCCACTCCATAACCAAAGGCAACAAATTTTATTCAATTGGAGCAGGAGCAGAAGGAAACCTGGCTGCATTTGTCCTACTCAATATCGCACAACTGAAAAGGGTAAAGTAGAGAGCATTCTTGTATTGGTCCTTGCCATCAACCGACAGCTGCTTTAAGAAAACAAAATAGAAATGATTTACCTGCCAATACCAAAGGCTGCAAGTTGGGAGCGTAGACCATCTGATAAAAGAAGACTTCTACCTCAATCCTCCCAGCAGTAGCTAGGAATGTAGAGCATACATGTAGTAACATGTATGCTCTACATTCCTAGATAGAAATAAATTATATATTTGTTTCATTATTCCCATTCTTGTTACCAAAATCCTAATTTCTTTTCTTTTTGACTAAAGAGTTAGATTTTATTTTATTTTTTAACAGTAAAATCCTCTATAGGGAATCAAACTGTTGCAATGGTATAACTTCCCTCATAGGATAACAGACCAACATTCATAGTACAACTTTGCCTCCTGATCCCTCCTACATTGGAAATTAGATTTGAGCCAAATGGTTCCTAAAAAAATGTATATAACTGAAATAGCTCAAAAAAAGTGACGGTATATCTTCAACTCCCACTCTGTATTCACGCTAAAGCTTCATCGGCATTTTGATCCATCTTCATCTTCACGAACAGTTTGTCATAATCCACATCCTTCATGTCCTTGTAATTTAATTTCACTTTTGACTTCCAAAAATTGTACCAAATCACAATAGTTGCTGCAAAAATTCACAACAGAATTTTTCCAATTTCAAAGCAGCTACCTGTACTGTAAGAAGTTTTGTCAAGCATGTTGCAACAGTTTGATCTTGTACAGAGCCTTACTCTTAAGGACACAACAACCACTAAATAACCTAACAGTAAAACTGATTGCTTTTTTCTTCGGCCATTGTCAAAGACAACTCCAACTAACAAAACCTATGACACAAAAAAAACAACAGATAATGGTGACAACAATATAAAAACAGATAACGGTGACAACAATATCCTTATACCTTCCAAAGGCAAATGACAACATTTAATAGCTTCTTCTCTTTATCTTATCATATATCCCAAAATAAAGAAAAAAATAGAAAGCATTTTAACACATTCCAACTGTAAAGCAGCTATGTAAAACTATGGTAAATATGGAAATACCTCAGTTTCAATCCAAACATTGACATAACACAATAAAAATACAGTTCTTAATGAGTTCATTTTGAATTGATAAAAATGTTCCTCATTATTTTATTTAAAATAAAAAAAACCGATTCAGTTAAGTAAAATAATCCTACATATATAAAACTGGCTAAAACAATGTAATAATTAAAATAAATATTAAGTAAGTTAAGATAATTTAGGCAGTTTATTTAGCAGTTTATAAACACTAAATAAATAACTTGCCATTAAGGCGACATATTGAGCATCCCTTCATTGGAGTATGACATAGTTGGCAGGAAAGAGGCCATATTGTCCATTACAAGATCCACGCCACCAGCCTTCGTCAATCTACGTACAACCAACAATTTTTCATTTTAATAAAACATTAATGTCATATACATCATTTCATTATTATCATTATAGATAAAAAAAAAAATTAAAAAAATAGAAAGAATAGTTGTGAGAATAGCAATTCTCTTAAAAACATGTTCAAATTAGATTGATTAAAAAAAAATTGAAAACAAAATAATTTGAAAAAAAGATTTTTTATTACAATTAAAATGATTAAATTTACTAAGAGGTTGCTTCAGTTTTTAAATATACTGAATATAGTGAAACAAAGTTATTTTACAAGTTAATATACTATACTTATTAATCTGTTGCATCATATTGGCCATTGTGAATCTTAAAAAATATAATTCTCATGCTTTTCCCCACATTCAAGTATCCCAACTCACCAGTTTCATCAAGCTGAATTCCCAAATGCGTTTTCGAAATGATTTTTTTTTTTTTAACACCTGCTTTTAATTTTAACTATGCATCAGGAAAATGGAGAGTGATCAAACAGAGAATTCTTGGACATGAATAAAAAATTGAATCCATTGATGACTACAGTTGTCAACGGCAACCGTAACCAAGTCCACATTTATTCCTGCAAGTACATTAATCCTTTCAATGGCTATACTACCAGGTCATCCCATAAGTAATGTCGGTTTTTAAAAATCTTTTTACATTGCTACATTGTTTACAATTGAATTTGGTTTATCATGATATTAAATACACTTCTATTTATCATGTTTTTGTTGGAGAAAGTAAGTGATCGTGTGCTGAAATTTCAATTAAAATGGATCTCCCAAAAAAAAACAACACATCATGTTATGCTTTGGGAAATTGATAAAGAAGAAAATTTTGAAGATCTTCAAAGTTGGGTTGAAATAAAATGTTTTTTCAATACTTTAGTCTTTTTATGACCGCCACCCCAGACCATCTCTTTCATCAAGAAAATGCTGCTTCAACTTATCGGAAACATGATTGCAGAATTATGTGCAAAATACATCATTATGAATGGCAAGTGCAGAGGTGGTTTGAAAAGTTTGGAGCAGGAAGCCACAAAGCTGAAGACGAGCCTCAGGCAAAAAGACTAACTACTGCAGAGAGCCTGTAGGAGCAGGCTACTGAATAATATTAATTATATTCTTCTAGTAATTATAACAATCAGCAGAAAAACTTGGATCGACATATTCTACTGTCTATTATTTGCAGCTGATAGGAAAGGTACCGAAATTGGGTCCATCATGAGTTAAGTGTCACTTGTTTGAGGGTGAAAACTTCCTTTCCTCTTCTCTCCTATTTAGATCAGGAACTTTTTCTAAACATTAAAGTAACTGGAGATGAAAAGTGGGTTTTCTATCACAATGTTGGATGGTCAGGACAGTGGTTAAGTTCTGGCGTAAGACTGAGAACTCAAGTGAGAGAGGCTTCATCCCAAAAAATTAATGATGCCTGTTTGGTGGAATATGGAAGGAATCCTTCATCATGAATAGCTTGATCTAAACCTTGACCAACCTATCACTAAACATCTCTCCTTTCTTTTCTGTTTCATTCCAAATGTAATTAGAGCCTCTACTGCCTCTTCGTATATTATTATATTTTTGGTCCATTCAACAAGTAAATTAGCATTCTTTATTGAAATATATAGCTGTAAGTTACTTACCATATCTATATTGGTAATGATATCATCTGGATCGAAAGAAATTTCATCATCGGCAGCTAAAAGAATAAAAATGTAAAGCAATATATATTTTATAAAATAAAATCTTAATGTGAATTACAAATTTTAGAAGAAAAATAGCTACCTGCTTGGTAGTCATAGAGGGCTATTGCAGTGTAACCGCTATCATCATCTGGAGAACAATCCTGTGACTGTTCGGCCATCTTGTTCAACATCTCCTTTTCCTAAGAAACAAATAAACTTTACTGCTATACAAAATAAATAACAGATGTAATTTAAAAAACAAGTCATTATTTGTTCAATATTCCTAAAACTTAATTTTTATTTAGTTCGATCAATGCTAAGTATTGAAATCTTATTTTTTTTTTAATTTCCGTTGTACGTAAAGTAGAGGAAAAAAAAGCATCTATTAATGTGAATATCAGAAGTTCGATTAATGAAATTATTACTCATTTTAAGAATGGCTGATACATAACTATTTCACTTTTATTAAACGTTTGATGGAAATTTTAAAACTCGAATGGAAATTTCAACTTGAATTAATAATCATTAAATGCAAGATTCTATTCTCTACAGCTTGTATTCAATATATTTTCATCCATAATAGCCGTTTTTTTTTTTTTAAAAAAGACTGACAATGCCTGTAAAGGAATTTTTAAAGAAAATTCGTAGATCATATGTTTTATTAATGGACATTTGATTCTTCTGCCTACCCGAATTCCGATGTTTGAGGTACTTATTTTATGCAGAATTTATTGTTATTTAATTCATAATAGAATAAAGCTTTTATTGAGATATGCCATTTAAAAGTTATAGGTCATAAACTGAAAAAAAGAAGAGAATTTTGAATATTCACCTCCCACCCTTTCCGCCTTAGAGCCTAAGGGAGCCCCCTTTTTAAAACGGGTCAAACTTAAGAAACTATTATCTGACAAACAATGAACAGATTAACACCATGTTCAGCTTTCCAACACCCATTTCCAGCCGTGTCCAAAAGGTTTGGTGTAAGGCTGCGTTTTTACTTCACTACATTTATTTCCGTTATATATATTATATTATGTCATCTAAAACAAATAAGCACAAATAATTTATGCCTTATTTTTGTTGGTTAAGCCAAATGCCCCAATATTTTTGTAAGCCACTACATTATTTAATCTCAAAATAGTTCACTTATCGTCTGTGCTTCATGGCCTATGGATGTTCATAAATTTTCACGCCGTTCTGACGACATATTCGGGTTATAGGTCATGACAAACGCCTTAATATTTTTGTAGGCCACTGTGACCATTTGATTGTACTTATCTTTATTACCCATTAATATGAAAGTCAGCCGGATGTTCATAAATTTTCTCAATGTCGTTCTAACAACATGTTGGGGTTATAGGTCACGATAAAATGAAGCCACCCATGAAGTTTTAGGCAGATGTTAATAATTTCATGAAAAGGGATCTCTACCACAGACAAGAACATTTATGTTCTGTTTCTTGATTAGTTTGTTACTAATTTATATTAATTTAAAAATTATTTTGATGAATATATTTCATATCCTAACGAGTCTAAATTAGAAGAGAAAAATAGACAGTTCCTGAAATGTCAAGGTATGAAAATAAATGGGAGAAGTGTAAAAGCATGTTACTGAAAATGTTTCCCCATAAATATATTTAAATATAAATATATAAAATATACATCCATCTTCGAGAGAACTTTGAGGCAACTCAAAAACACTAATAAAAAAAATAATTAAAAATGGATTTCCTAGGGTTACTCAATTACTAATATTGAATTTATATATACTGTAATAGTTTAAACGTTAATATTTTAAATAACTAAATCAATATTTAAATAATTACTGTTCTTTAATATAAGAACAGTATCAAGACAAAAAGCACAAACTAAATTTTCTACACATTTTAAATAAATAATTAATCTCACTGTCCTGTATAATTACAATAACTTTCATTATTAAAGAGAAATTGATTTTCTCAAATTTAAAAAAAAAATTATATATTATGTTCAAGATGGATAGCCATTAATGAATACACCAATAAGACAATTCAATAAAGGTTGACTTAAAACCTTGGCTTCATAATACTCGACAAGTTCCTTGGTGTCATCATTTTCATCATCAATAAAATGTTTTGAAGATTTGAAAACTTGTTGCTGAAGTGGAATTTCATTTATAATGAATTTCTCAACCCACTCTTCTAAGGACAAAGGATCACTGCTTTCTACTTCTGCATTCTCAAATCGATCCCCCTTCCCTGTCTTCATTTGTTTTTTTTTTAATTTGAAAATAAAACAGAAATTACAGTCAAACTGTTTTAAATTAACAATGAATACAATTTATACTGAATAAATATTAATTGTTCTATTTCAACAGCTGTCATTTCAATCCTATTATTTATCAGGTTATACTGAAGTAATCAAATGTAATATATATTACTGCAAAGAAATGAAGTAATATTATAACTACATAGTTTATGGTTAACAACAGGAAAATTACCATTATTAATATTGATTATCAATTATCAGAATAAATAAACAAATTAGCAATTTGTAAGGTTATTAGAGTAAGGAAGTTAAATAATGAAAGGAAAGGAAAGGAAAGGAATGATATGTTACCTCACAATTCAAAACTTCACGGATTACGGTATCTATAAATAATTTGTACACAGCCATGTCCTTGCGAAGCCGTATCACTTCGGCCCTCATCTGGCCAATGTTTTGCAACGTAAACATCTGCCGGGATCTTATGTCACACAGTTCCAAGTGCATGCACTGTAGGACTTCTTCGAGCAAAGTAGTAACACAATCTGTGTCCTTACATTCATTTTAAAAAGGATAATGTCATTATGTCTACAGATATTCCATAAATAACCTCTACTTGTTGACTCAATATCTAAGTATTGAAATTAAAAAATTACTTTTTTTTCTTGGTGTTCAGAGGAAAAGATCCTTTTTTTTTTTTTTACCACAATCGTAACTAGCATTTCTGAGTAAAACATTACAAATTAAAATAGTAACAACTAAATACAATTACATTTCAGCATTTGATTTATTTATTTTTTAACATATTCATTTTCTGGAAAAGTTACATACAAAAGAGGAAGACAAATATACTTTATTCAAAAGAAATTTTATCTCTTTCTAATCAAAGTTGTAGCAATTTGAACAATTTATATTTTATAAAAATTCTGGACAGGAATAATTTAGTGATCGATAGATACTTCAAAATAGCAAATAAATAAATAAAATGTCAACAAATTGTAATGATGTATAAGTTTTCAAAATGAAAATGAATTGTTCAAAAGGCTAAAATATTTTAATCAGGAAATGACAAATGTAACTTATAAAGTTAATTTTTTTATTTGAAATGGGTGAAAAATAAATGTAATTATATTAATTGTTCCATTTTTTGCTTTATAAATTTATTTAGATAAGAATTATCTTCAACTATTTTGCTAAAACTTCGGCAAGAATTAAAAATTCAACTTGAAACAGCCAATAACAAAATAAGATAACTTCAACTTTTGAAAAAATTGATAACTAGGCCTCATTAATATTAACAAATTTAAGAGCAATATCACTCTCACAAAAGCAATAAAAATAGAAACAAATATCGATTTATTTTTTAATTTAATAAGGTAAATGTGGAAAAAATTTGCACAGTTATCTAAATCTTATGGGTCACCACATTTTAAAATAAATATTTCTAAACAAAATATTGTAGTGGGTTCAATCAGACAGGGGTTCCCAATTACCAGTTAACGGCATGTTCTTGAACTGAACCGACTCACTCAATTTGATTGGGGTTACCGACATGTTTCTCTTACCTCATTCACTGCTCATTATCTTTCCAAAAATTTAAAATTAAATTTACTTTCCACATTACTATGGCCCGATGTGGACTATGGCCTCCTCCTCAATAAGCCTTCTTATAGGTGTTCCCATCTTAGTCTTCATCGGTCGTTTCACAAACACGGGTTTCTCGGTTTCTTTATTTCTTTCTAGTCAAGTAGGATTTAACTAACCACCTCATCTGGCCATATTTCATAAAATGTATCAAACTCCAACAAGCTCAAAATCTTGCATTTATCCTCCATTCCAATGATTTTCTTTATTCTTAATGGGTTTAAAAATATAGCACTAAATCCTTCTTATGAAGAGAGGAGTTCCTTTCCTTTTCAACTAAAGATGGGAAATTCAATTCTTTTAACTGAATCTACTCTCAACGATTCAATTATTGTGGTGAATCGATTCTTATGAACATTTCTTCAATTTTATGAAGAAAAAATAAAAAGGAACTTAAATTAAAAGTTCTGGTTCAAATATATTTTGACTATTTTGTTTATTTATTTATTTGTTTTCTGCTTGGTTCATTTAGATATGTTTAGAGTTGTTTTTACTCTCTTCTACTGTTAATTTTTAATAATACCGATTCCGAGTGAATTGTGATTCTTTCGCATGAAATACTTGAGAGTACAATTCTTTCAGAGGAATCAATTGTTTGATTCGATTATTTTGGGCAGATGTGGCAATCTCTATTCTCAACTAGCCTACGCCCTAGATTGCTTAACCTTCAGTAAAGCTGAGGTTAGTACCGCTCATGTTGGTGTTTTATAAACATGACACTTGGCCTTCCATATTTGTTGACCAGTCTCAAGAGATTTATTAATTGTACAACAAATTATTAAGCCTAAACATTTAAATTGGTCTACATTTTCAAAATGGGTGTTCCAATTGAGAGTGGTTCCAAGATATATCGGTTTAGAATTATCCCTTATATCCAAAATCTAAATTATAACTGTGCATGCTATGTGGTTTACTCAAGAACATCTCAGAACTTTTCATTAGCTACACGTACATATTTGATTTATCACCACCATTTGTATATAAATTATCTTCTTTTTTCAGATTAAAATTTTTTCTTTCCGTCTTTTATTGATTGCTGTTGTCTTGCCTTTAACTAGCCCTAATGAAGGACTAAACTTGGGCCAAAACGTGAGCACACAAGAAAATAAAGCTTTTTATTTGTACTATTAGTGTTAGAGTATCTCTTTTTATTTTTTATATTTTATATTTTTATTTTATTTTTTTTTAACTTCAGGTTTTTTATTTTTCTATAAATACAGCTTTTTTTATTTAATTTTTTTTTTTTTTTCACGGAACGGCCATAGAGACCACGCGAATATCATGACATTTGGCTTCTTTCTTGTTTTTCCTTTCTTTCCACTTCTCTCTCATTATCTCCGTGTGCCGCCGCTTTCTCTCCTCCGTCCACGCGACTCCCTTTCTCGAACTATTTAATTATTTATATTGAAGGTTTTTTTATTTTTATATACATTTATTTTCGCCAGAAATATTTTTATTTTAATATTTTTTATTTTTAGCTTTCTTTATTTTTGTACAAATGATTTAGACCTTTATTTGGTTATTTACCAAACTACCCAGATTAATGTATTTAAAACAAGGGAATATTTATATTTTCCTATGCTATAAACTAAACTTAACAGAATATTTATTTCGAAAATACTGAAAATTCATTGTTTTTATTTTAAATTTTATTTTATGTTTGCAATCTTTTAATGATTTTTTTTTGTTGAGATTTTTAAACAGAATATTTGTTTAAAAAAGTGTTATATCCTATTCTTTATCTTAGATCCTTTTCCCCAAAATTCTACTCCCCAACTCTACTGTTATGACTAATATCCTAAATTCCTGTTACATCAATGCACAATCCCTTATTGCACACTACGATGAATTCCAGAAATATTTCCTTGACAATTTTTACCACATTATAGCAGTATCAGAAACCTGGCTAAAACATTTTATCCCATCCTCCCAGATTACTCGTTCCTATATCACGATAGATCGCATCGCATGGGAGGTGGTGTCGGATTATATATCCATGACAGCCTTAAGGCCAAAATATTCTACAGCCTCCTTATCATGATTTTCCTCACATAGAATACATGTTCGTTGAAATTTCCTCTCTTTCCTCTCCTCAGTTATATGCCATAGTTTATGGCCCTCCTCGTGTTCCATTTGACAACCTCTTTGAATCTTCCCTTATTAACCTGGTTTCCAACTACACCAATATTATCATCACTGGTGATTTTAATGTGAACATGGTTGTTTTCTCTTAACCTCCATCTTGTTCCTTATTCTCCTACCCACGACACGCAATTTTCCGATACTTGGTTAGACCTCCATATCTCTGACTCTCCCACCAAAATCCTTTCCTCTTCTCAACATCCAGTTCCATTTCTTTCATCACATGACCTGATCCTAATTACATACGACCTACCCGTGAAATCCTTCACTCCCAAAATAGTTTCATACCACAATTTAAATCTTCTCTCCTATGAATCCCTTCAACCAGACCTTAATTCTCTCCAATGGGGCACCATATATTCTTCCAACTCCATTGATCCTATGGTATCCACCCTGACCTCAAACCTACAATCCATATTAGCCATCCACGCTCCTCTGAAAACCAAAACCTTACGCTGTCCCACTGCACCTTGGCTGACCAGTGAGATAAAGGAAATGATGAGGGAAAGAGATGCAGCAAGCCCCAAATAATGTCGAACACGTCTACCTGTAGATTATGCGTCTTTCAAGTCGCTTCGCAATGGAACCCATTCGCAGTCGGACTCGCTAAAACCACCTACTTCCATAATGCCCTGTCCAATGCACCCGACTCCAAATCTAAATGGAAAATACTATGTAACCTATCCCTACCAGAATCCAATAATCTTAGTTCCTTCTCTCTTTCTCCAGATGATCTCAATAACCTTATCCTTCTTATCCTTTGCTCACTCTTTCTCTCATACTTTCGATATTAAACATCACAACTTCAATCCTGAAGACTTCTTTTTCTCCCGTGTGTCCTACGACGCATTGTTTTCCACTATCCTAAAATCCCACACCAATGATTATGGTCCTGATAATATTCCTGTAAAACTAATAAAATCCAGCCTTGCTGACCTTATTCCTGTTCTTTATCATATCTACAATTTTTCATTGCAAAACTCCATATTCCCATTCTCCTGGAAAACTGCCCTAGTCCGACCTTTGAATAAAATTGCCAACCCTGCCTCACTGCACGACTTTCGTCCTATTTCTCTCCTATCCAACCTTTCAAAACAGTTACAACGCCTTGTCTAAAATCAGCTCCCAAACTTCCTAGAGGAGTGTTCCCTTATCAACCCATTCCAATCTGGCTTTCACCCTAGCTACTCAACGCAATCCGCTCTCCTTAAAATAACCCATGACCTCCAAAATTCTTTAAATTTTTTCCAAAACGTTTGACATAGTTGACCATAACATCCTCCTTACTAAACTGCCATATCTTCCTCTATCCAACAGTATCCTGCGTTGGTTCAAATCCTTCCTTTCGAACCGGTCCCAGTATGTAGTCGTCCCAGGTCAACCTCCATCTAAGACCCTCTCTCTCTCTCTCTTGTGGTGTCCCTCGAGGTTCCTCTCTATCTCCTACTCTGTTTGCTATTTACATCAATGACCTTTCCCTCCTGATCCATCACTCCCAATACCATATTTTGTTTTCGGAATCTCAAGAGATACGCATGTAACCCAGTATTACACCAAGTTGAAGTGGCTCTATCCATCCAACCGCCGTCTGTACTTCCTTGCCACCTTTCTATACCAAGTCATCAGAACTCAGCGGCCTTCCTATTTTTTTCACAGCCTACAATTCAAATATTCCATTCAATCCCGTCTCACTAGATCTCGTACCTCCGACCTCTATCCACCTCCCCACCGAACAGCAGCGTTAGACAAATTCTTTATAATTCAAGCCGTCTCCTTCTGGAATACCATCCCTCCCGATATCCGACATGTACAATCAGTTTCCTCATTTAAATCTCTCCTTTTTAACCACCTACTCCTTTCCCAACCCAATTGATCATGAAATGTAGATAAGTTCCCCCAGAAATGATTTTCTTTACTTATGCTGTTTTATTTTCCTATGTTTGTATTATCCATATCAGAATGTTTTTAGTGTAATAGTTCTATTTTTTGTTTTATTCTTTTTTCAAAATCTTAATCTTAATAATAATTGTAAATAATTAATTTTATGTATGGCCACACAGGCATTTATTCTGTATCTGTAATTTGTCCTAAAGGGGCAACAGTCCCAGGATAATAAAAAAATATTTTCATTTCATTTCATATCTATGCAGATGATTTCCAAACATAACTGTCCTTTCCGCCGTACGACCTACTATCAGCCATAGAAAAACTTCAAAGACTTGGATAGGATTTGTGACTGTTGAATAGTTGAAGTTGAAGAGCAAATAAGAGCAAAGAAGTTGAATTTGAGTGCGGAAAAGACAAAGGCAATCTTAATAGGCTCCAATCACCTCCTTAAAACTGTTTCTAATATTCCAACTCTGTTCCTGCACAATAATCCCATATAATTTTACCGCACCATCAAAAATCTTGGAATACCATTGATCAAACGTTTTCGTGGAAAAACCATAAATCCAATATTTCCTGCCGTACCATTTCCACCCTAAAACGTCTACATTAATCCTGTCACCTATTTCCATTTGAAACCTGTAAGCTCCTAATCACTTCCTTAATTTTTCCTCACTTTGACTATTGCTCTACGGTATATGGTGGTGTCTCTGGGGATCTCGAGACGAAACTAAAACGTTTGATAAATTGCTTTGTACAATTCATCTTTGGGATCCCAATGGACGTCTCTGTTTCCCATTTTTATACAGCGTTAAAGTTGTTTTATCCTTCCTACCGTCGTAAGTATTTCCTGGCATCCTTCCTCTTCCAAGTTATCCAATCCCACCGTCATACATCTCCGAGCTCCTTCAATTCAAATCCTCTGTTCGTTCCCGCAATACTCATTCCCAGTCTTCTGATTTATACATAAGGGCCCACTGAACCGCTGCTTTCGACAAATCGTTGATTATCTGATCCTCATCCCAATGGAACTCCATTCCTTCCCACACCCGTCTATCCCATACCCTTCCTACCTTTAAATCCCGCCTGTCAAGTCATTTCTTATCCATCCAGTCCCCATAAAATTTTAAATAGATAATATACTGTAAATATGTACATAAACTATTAGTTCGTTCTTCATTATTTTTACTCCAATTTTTTTTATCTATTTTTTATTATTAACTGATCAAAATTAGAAAGTAACTTATATATTTTTTTTTTTCACTAAGATTATTCAATTACTATGTATTTTTATTTATTTATCTCTGAGGCTCCTTAGTCCACATTTCTGTCTTTCTGTATTATTTTAAAGGGACTTGTCCCAGAATAAATAAACTATTATTATTATCACTTTAACATTTGACCAAAACTCCTCAGGCTATTTGACCTACGGTCAGTCGACATTATCTCCATCTGCCCAGTAAATTACCAAAACTTATTTTAAAATGTGGCAACAGATATCATTTTGAAAAGTGCAAATCAATATTTCTGCACACTTTAATATTAAATGGACTGATAAGAAAACAGAAAGAAGTTTCACTACTTACCGACTTGTGTCCCTCCTTAGAGTGAGGCCTTATGGTCTCGCCGGCAGCGTCCGGAGGTTCACTGGCCGGCTGCACAACAGGACAGAGGTTAGGCTCTCCCTCTTGCTGGAATCAACAGGTTACCAGTCAAAGGAACACCGAAATGATATCTCATCAGTATTATTTAATTATATCATTAATAAACCTCACCACATCAATTTAACTCAGAGCATTTGATGACAAAATGTTCATCGAATTAAATGCTTCTTTAATTTATTGGACAACAGGTTTCAATCATTACCAAGTAAAAACCAGAAGCTAAAGCTACATTAAACAACTAATAGTCAAAAAACAGAAAAATATTTCAATATTACATCGACAATCTCTTTCTAATCCACTCCATTCTCAATAATCTCTTTCTACCCCATCCCTTTCTCTTTCTCATGTATAGAGGTCACATTGCTAAGAATTGAGAGGTAACAATGTAACTGAAAAATTCTTGGTTGAACCCTCACATTTAAAAGAGGTCAAAGAATAAGGATAGGTAATCTTTTTATAAAATTCATTTTCAAATTTTGAAACATACATAAGTTATTTCTCTACTTTCAATGTTTTAGGAAATTCCTACTTTCAATGTTTTAGGAAGTTCCTTTCTGTTTGTTTTATATTTTATATTATTTTATTTTCAATATTTTTTATCTAGCAAGTCAGCATTTGCTTCATATTACTTTTTCATTTTACCTTCTCTGTATGTTCATTCTATTTGTTTATATGATTTCCATCTTTGTTTTATTTTTTATTTTTAATCTTGAAGAAGACTTGCAACTAGTGAGTAGTTCAGTCGACATCAATTCAATAAATGAGCAGTTCAGTCGACAGACATTCATTAATTTCACACAATTTTTTGTTTAGTTAATATTTTCTTTAATTTTATGAAATAAGATATTTTAAGGCTTCTCAATCTTTTGGGGCTTTCCAGGTTACAAAAAATAATTGCTAGGTATATTCGAATTAAAAAATAAAACAGTATTGTGTCCTTTATTATAATATATACTTATTAAAATAAACTATATATTCATTTGTAATAAAGTCGTATTTGTAATAATTATTAAAGATTAAATAAATAAGGTTAAATAAACAACAATATCATCAATATTAAATATTAATTCTATTGGTATTTAATGAGAGAACTTAGGTAAAGTATATACAAAATAAACTCTGTGTTACATTTTAAAAAATAGAAGACATCGAAATCACATGCTATGGCAACAGTATGAGTTAACAATTAATACAACAAAGAACCCAGTTTGTGTAGCAGCTTGAGGCAATATCTCACTAGAAATATTTCAAAATCTAAAGTAACTTGTAATTTATTAAGTCATAATCAAATTATAAATTTATAGGAACAATTATAAATTAAATTAAAATTATTTTCTTATTATTTCAAGACTTTGCAGATAGCAGAAGGATGAAAAGCCCTCCTCAAAGGAAATAAAAAAGTGAGCCTGTCCCTTAATGGAAGAAAGATTATAATTTATATATATATTTTAGAAATATAGAAAAAATTGTATATTGTTATTGTAGAAGGTAGTACATCTAATACATCTAAATAATGAGATTTTCATTTTACCCATTTCATTGATATTAATGAATTTAAATTTTCACTGAATTTATTTTGATTATAGTTTTTCTGCAGAATGCTCCGGAACATGCGCAAAGAGAAAGAACCTGTTCTCAAGCGAATCAACGATAAAGAAGGAAATATCCTAACAAGCAACGAAGGGATCATGCAGAGATGGACTGAATACTTCAAGGAACTTTTGGACGAAAATCAAGAAGCTGGACGGTCGAACGTGATTGAGATGGAAGAAGAAGATTGTATCAGCGAAGATGAAATTGTGGATGCTATAGGCATATCGAAAACAGGAAGATCAGCAGGAATAGATAGGATTGTCCCTGAAATGATGAAGTACATGAACCAAAAGGGGATAGAAGTATTTCAGCACATTCTAAACCTTGTGTGGAAAACAAAGAATATTCCAAAGGATTGGGAAGTATCTGTTATAGTCCCAATATTTAAGAAAGGGGATAACAGAGAATGTAAAAACCACCGGGGGATATCTCTTCTTAGTGTCCCGAGTAAAATATACTCAAAGATTTTAGAGAAACGCCTACGAAGAACAGTGGAATCCTCCCTGAGTGAAGAACAGTATGGATTTAGGCCAAATAGAAGTACCCAGGATCTCATATGTACCTTTAGACAAATTTCTGAAAAATTAATAGAAAGGGACAAAGAAATATATGCCTGTTTTGTAGACCTCACTAAGGCATTTGACCGAGTGAAGAAGCAAGACATAGCAAATGATTTGGAAGACAAAGGCCTCCGTAAGGCAATTCTAAGTCTCTATAAAACCCAAAGAAATGTTGTGAGAACATGCAATAACATATCGGAAGAGTTCACAACTAATCAAGGTATTAGGCAAGGGTGCAGTCTAAGTCCTCTGCTATTTACACTATTGCTAGATAATGCAATAAAAATAGCAAAACAAAACATGAGAACATATCAAATGGGATACATAATCTTCAGCCTGTATATTTCTCTCTGTTCGCTTATGCAGACGATTTGGTGGTTTTCGGAAGCAATGGACGAAACCTACAATTCAACCTTAAATAAATTAAAATAAAATAAGTAAAATAAATATGCGAATAAATGTGGAAAAACCAAAACAATGAGGATTGGCAGAAAACAAGGAAGAGGAACTTGAGTGGAGTCCCATTGGAACAAGTGAAAACTTTCAAATACCTCGGTTCCCACATCAATGAACATGGGTGGATCGACGGAGAAATAAAGGAAAGAGTGAAGTCTGCAGGAAGGTGCTTCAACGCCATCAAGCAAGGATTCTTGAACAAGAGAGAAGTGAGTAAAGAGACCAAAGCGACCGTGTACAAAAGTACTTTCCTCCCAATAATGACCTACTCCAGCGAGTCATGGACCCTCACCACAAAGCACATCAGCCAGATTCAGGCCATGAAGATGCGATTCCTGTGCAGGGTGGAAGGAAAAACAAAGAGAGATCGCATAAGAAACTCCATAATACGGAAAAATTTAAATGTAAGAGCAGCCGAAACGGTGATGGAGGAAAATCGTTTGAGATGGCTTGGTCATGTTTCTCGAATGCCAGAAAATCGAATGGCCAGGATAGGGTTGGAAAGCAAAGTTGAGGGAAGAAGACCTCAGGGAAGGCCCAGGAAGACTTGGGAGGTCAGTGTCAAGGAGGCCTTTGACAGAAGGGATATTGATTGGAGGAGGCGGCAGTTGGCTCAGGTTCGAGAGTTGTGGATTCGGCTCTACAAGAAGGCTCCTCACACCACCCAGCGGTAGAAGAGGAAATGATTAAGAAGAAGAAGTTTTTCTTATTTTTAAGAGTTTAAAAAAAAAATTTATGATTATGAGCGCACTTGACAAGACTCTTTTATTATCAAATAAACTAAGACTATTAGTATTGCTGTTACGTACACGCTCACGCCTTTTCTTCGGATCAGACCCTTCTGGTTTCAATTTAATAGAATGCAATGAGCCTTCTTTTTTCGATTGCTACACAGAAAATATCAGATAGATCATTCTTCAATTTAATCTTCAAATAGAAAAAAATTGTAAAACTAAAAATTTATAAAACAAAATCTAATGTGCAAATGTTAACTGTGCATATGATATACAGGGTGCTATGGACAATCTATTCTCTACTTTTGAATTGTAGAATGTTTAAATTATAAAGATGTAGAGATGGTTGACCGTTAATATAATATGAGAAGGAGTTAGTCGAGGGTGCGGTCAAATAAATAAAAAATTAAAGTATATTAATAATATTAATTATTAATTAAAGTATATTAATAAGGAAAAAATTAAAATAATTAATATACTTTAATTTTTTATTTATTTGACCGCACCCTCGACTAACTGCTTCTCATTTAAATTATAAAGATGAAATTTGGAGGATCCAAATTAGTTATAACCTGAAGTAAGTTTTGGCATGTTGCTGACTTAGCAACCTACAGGAATATTCCTCCAGTGCCTTGTAACTCTGCAATTACTTATGAAATCTGATGTATAGATTTTTTTTTATTCTGATAAGAAATGAAATTTTAATATGAATTCATATAGGGCAATTTTTGGATCCAATGCATCCCAGAATTGCTAATAAAAAAAAATTGCTAACACAATTTTCATACCAAGTTCAAAACATCTCTGAACAAGGCTTATTCTTAGAAAACTGGTAAAATAAAGATAGAGAATCAATAAAATAGCATACTTTCTGAGCACGTAGTGAATAGATTATCAGGGTTACAATCATAAATAAGAGAACAGGCATAAAAGTATTATTTAAGAAAATATTTTTGGGATGAGAATGAAATAACAGAGGATGTCACATCATATTAAAAAAGTCCAATATGAAACAGTTTTAAAATTTCATTTCATATCGAGATCTGTATAACAAATTGAGCCCATTCTATTTTGGCGATTCCAGAGTTACGAGATACTGGAGGAATATTTTGTTATGTTGCAAATTCTAGAGGATGCCTCAAACTTAAGGGTACCATGTTTCATTCAGATATTCTAGAATTTGAAAGCAAGGGACAGGTAACAGTGACACTGATAATGTATATTGCTAATTAGAAGCAAAATTTTCATAACTTAAAAATTTATAACTTTTGCTTAATCAGATCTTGTTGATTATCATTAACCAAAAGTGGGCAATTGTTAATTTTTGAATAGTACCTGCTCTTCTGTGCTATTGAATAAAAATAAAACATTTATAAGAGCTATTAGCAACAATAAAACAAAGTACATTAAGTGTGATAAATATTCAGGACGCAGTCATTATAAATTTTTTTTATTTGTGCCAACGTTTCAACCCACACATGTGGGTCATCATCAGAACGTGGTTTTCAAGTACCCTGTAACTGAGTACTTGAAAATCTCCAGTGCTGGAACCACCAATAAGTACAATAAAAATTTAATTATTACTGCATCCTGAATATTTATCTCCCATGATATGTAGAGCAGTCGACTAGCTTCCTTCAATAGTACATTAAGGTAAAGGATTTGATGGCAATATAAGAAAAGACAATATAGATAGATGGTGAGAAAGGTCCACTTACCACAGGTAGGGTTTCTATTGGTTCTTCATCTTCCTTTTGAATCGAAGAAGCAGATTTAGACAAATCAGATTCTTCCGATACTGCTTTGTTAGCTTCACCCCCAGAACGATTTCCAGATCTAACTTTAACGCTTTTAAGATCCCGTTTCATTTCTTCGTCTTCTTTTTTCACAGCAATCTAAAAACAGTAGTATAAAAATATGTTCATTTAAAATATACAGTTTGAATATATTTTTTATTAATTGAGGATTACTAGCTCACTAATGAAAAATTAAAATTATTTATTAACTCATAAGCTAGGGCCAAAAATGGAGTCATGCTGTGTTGCTCATGCAACATGTCATGAAAATTCATTGCAATAACAAAAAGTTTTCATGAAATAAAATTTTCCAACAACAGATGGAATCGAAATTATAAAAATAATAAACGTAAATAGTAGCTTAACAATAATTAATTGTTAAGATCAAGTCAAACGCTAAGAACTGAGAGTAGTGAGATAGAGATTTGGGAGAGAGGATAGGAAGGGAGAGTATATGGTAGCGGTCACCGAACAACTATTTTAGAAAATAATAAATTAAAGATATTTAAATTTTAAAGTAAATATAAATGTTTAAATAAAATAATAATTAACATAAAGTCCTGAGAATGGCCACAATGTCAAATGTAGGTTTGGTTCTACCTTCAGAACATATGTTTAATGTTTTAAAAGAAACTTATTACACGAATTTGGAAGTCTCTTTCGGGTGTCCAAATTTCTAGCAATATGGCAAGATGGTCTGACTCATATAGGATAATGAAATTTACCATATGTAATTATGGTTCTGATATAGAGTAACAATATAAATCATATTTGCAACTGATCTATAGATTAATAATATGTACCGTAATAAGTCCAGAAATGATTGACCATAGTTATAATTTAAGGAATATTTAATCGGAGAGTGTCATCAAAAGTTACACAAAAACTATGTTGGTATAATATTAATTTATTTAACTTATGAATATGAGTGTATGTGTATGATTGTTGACTCAACTCCCTAACTATTCCTAAATATACCGTAATACATACAAACATTTAACAATTGAAAGCACTTTACAAACTTTGTACCAATAGAAAGCACTGTACAAAAATTTAACCGGACCTGTTCACTTTCTGCTTCACTCTGCTTCCTCTCCTCTTCCTCTTTTTTCCTTCTTCGGGCTCTTTCTTCTTCAACTTTCTTCTTCGCTTCGGCTTCACTTCCTTTTGCTAATTCTTCAAACTTAGCTCGTAAGTTGGAAGGTTTTGTTGATCCTATTAAAAAATGAAATGAAATAAATAATGAAAGTACACTATTTTTTTAAATTGTTAAATAACACTACAAGAATAATAACTAGCAATTTGAGATTTTTATTTTTACTAATGAAAATGGATAGGTCTGAATATTACCCAACTAATTAATACTTTCCAAAGAAAACAAAGTATTTTCTGTTGAAGCTTAGTTTTAAGAAGTTGAATGAAATCAATAGCCACTTGAGCCTCAAAAATTTCAAATTAAATAAACATGTTCACAATATAACCTTCCAACAATTATTAATATCACGATTTAAGACTCTGGCAAACTCCCAACTGGTCCTTTTCAGTTGAAATCGGGGAATTAATTAGCTTTAATTACATAACTGGTTTCGTCTCCTACTTGCTTAGCTCACTCTAAAGGGGTAAACAATCCTTTTCAGTTAAGGTCTGGGCCTTACTAGAGGATTCAGTCACTTCCGTCTACTTTCAGAGACACTTAGTCATTCTCGAGATTTCATTTATGGTGTGATCATGAGATCTTGTGGCACCCATCAGAGAACTGAAACTTGTACTGTATACCCGAATACTCAATAGCTGACCATAGTATATTCAGGAAAGAGATGGTCCAAGGTGGAGGAAGAGGGTGGCCGGCATAACAAAAAAACTTAGAATAGAATAGTTTCCACTATGGGGAGGAGTGCTTAGTGTCGCAATTATTGAGGTATATTCTTTTTACCATGTGTTTTCTCGATTACTTAATAAAAAAACTGCTTCCTTTTACCGAGCAGAATTAAGCAAGTACCAGATGGGCTTTATGAGAGGAAAGTCTGGCATAGATCAGATATTCTCTATCAGCAGCATTCTCGAGAGATGCAGGGAGTATAATGTCCACACACACCACCTGTTCATCAAATTTAAATGGCCTATAATAGTATAAAGAGAAACGAGCTGTACCAGCATCTTCCAGAAATGGCCTATAATAGTATAAAGAGAAATGAGCTGTCCAAGATCTTCCTAGAAATGGGAATACCACCAAAGCTGATATGTCTGATTAGGGCTACAATAAAGAAGGCGCAATGCACAGTATGCGTTCAGGATGACCTGACTGATAGCACAAAGGGCTGAGGCAGGGTGATTATTTCACGTGCCTGCTCTTCAATTTTGCCCTTGAAACACAAATAAAATCAATATACCTATGATGATTTTAGCCTTCACCGATAACATATTGTTGAAAGAACTCCTACAGAATTAGAAAACGCTTTTTTCAGTCTCCAGAAATCAACAAAAAGAGTGGGTTTAGAGATTGATGAATCAAAAATCTAATGCATGCATGTAAGTAACTGGATGTGCACGAACCATCACACTTTACGGCTTGAAACTTTTCATTTGAAAGGGTGAAAGAGTTTGTTTGGTTCACAAATGCGGATAATGACATACAAGCAGAGATCCATCTCAGAATTATGTCCGCAAATAAATGCTATTTCGGAATACTGATTTCAAGAGCAGAGCTATTTCTCGAAACACTGAGGTGCAATTGTGGAAGACTCTTATGGTAAAACCAGTTCTCAATCATGACTCCACGAATGCTAGACATTACCCAGTTCACAAGAAGCACATCTAATTTCCTGAGGTTCCAGAGGAGAATCATGAGAATTTATGGCCCAGTTTGCACCAAATGTATCTGGAGGATAAGGACGAATAATGAGCTAACAAGACTCTACAAGGGCTCAGATATCATACGGGTAATTAAACTAAAATGGCTTTGATGGCAGGTCATATAAATAAAATGACCCTGAATCAGATTCCCAGAATGGTCCTAGACGAAAAGATTTCTGGGACAAGAGTGAGAAGATCTAAGCTCCAATGGATCAATGGAGTAGCAGCAGATATTAGGTCCGTCTTGGGAATCCACTATTAGAGAGCAGCAGCAACCGAGAGAAGACTGGCAGGTCAAGTGACGAGAGGCCTTGACTCTACCGGAGTTGTAGCGCCATGACTGATGATGATATTGTTTACTTTAATTATCTTCAGAAAAGAACAATACCATCACAGCTACTTGGATCCATCATCATAGAAAGCTGGTTTTTCTTTCTTCAAACTGTTTGTATGAAAAAAAAGAAAAAAAGAAGAAGAAACTGAAATAAAAAATTAGTGTTTTAAGAAATCAAATTTTGCAAAAAATAAATAAAATTGCAAACAACAATCTTTTTATTTAATAATTATTTTTTGAAAATTTCATTTCATTTGAACAACCACAGGCCTTCTTTGTAAACTCAATGCAGAACATTATGCATGCATCTTTGTTCATTTTCGATTATATTGCAATCTCAGTAATATCAACTGCCGTAGTACCATCATTCAAGTAATCAAAATTCACAACAAAAATAAATAAAAGTATTGATAGGTGGAAAGTTTTGTTCAGAAAAAAAATTCTAAATATAGGCACCCGCTAATCTAGTTGCATTACAGGAGATTTACTTAGCAGTAAATAAGCTAAGAAATGCAGTCTAACTATTGTTATTATTGACGAAAGATTTTTTTTTCTTTTGTAAAAGCAGAACAATAGTAAACCATTGTGGTCCTATTTTATATTTTAATCATCTATTCAATAGAGAACAGCGAACCACATGCTCGGGTTCTTCTCATTCTCCATTCTCCCACATCTTACAAAAGAAGCAATGAGGAAGGATGTCCGTCCAAAAGTAAAAACAAACAACAATAACTGAGTTATTTAAAAAAAAATTAGCTTCGATAAAAAAAAACTCAGAAAGACATGAAATTTGTGTAAATAAATACATGTTTGTATCCAGTCAGTAACATTGTACATGTATGTATCCAGTCAGTAACATTATACATGTACGTATCCAGTCAGCAACATTATACCTGTACGTATCCAGTCAGCAACATTGTACATGTATGTATCCAGTCAGTAACATTATACATGTACGTATCCAGTCAGTAACATTATACATGTACGTATCCAGTCAGCAACATTGTACATGTATGTATCCAGTCAGTAACATTATACATGTACGTATCCAGTCAGTAACATTGTACATGTACGTATCCAGTCAGCAACATTGTACATGTATGTATCCAGTCAATAACATTATACATGTACGTATCCAGTCAGCAACATTATACCTGTACGTATCCAGTCAGCAACATTGTACATGTATGTATCCAGTCAGTAACATTATACATGTACGTATCCAGTCAGTAACATTGTACATGTATGTATCCAGTCAGTAACATTATACATGTACGTATCCAGTCAGTAACATTGTACATTTATGTATCCAGTCAGTAACATCATACATGTTTATTTATTGTAATTGGTCAAGGATATTGGAATTAGTTTCCTGAAGGGAATTAGCATTACCGAAATTGCACTCCATTACTTATCATCTTTAAACAACTTTCCATTAAACATAACATTTGGGATATGTTTTTATTTCACAATCAGTAGCTATAAAATTATTTTGTGTCAAATTGACCAAGAAACTGTTAATCTTATGGCAGTTAGAAAAATAAAAATAAAGTATTAAATCAAAATAACAAAACAAATTATAAAGGTAAACATAAGTACAAAAGAAGAAAAACTTGATTGATTGTACCGCCGAAATATACTTTTTATTTTCTCACCTCAGAATATCAACAAAACTTTTCATATTGTAAATAGACACAGAAGCTTCAATTGTACATTACAATTTCAGCATCAAAATAGAAACAATTATTAATGGAAACTAATCACAGGAATAACACACTTTTCACTTTTGATGCTTCCACTTATCTCAAGCCCTAAAAAAATGTCTTCTCTTGATAATGTCACTAACTTAAAATCGCAATATGTAGCCTCCAATTTAGAAATTAAAAATGGTATTTTTCTTTAAAGTTAAATATCACAAAATCTCATTTTCAAAGATGTATGATTAGAATTTACTAAATGTAACAACTATGCTAGTATTGATAAAAAAGAAAAACATATGTTTGTATCATCTTGTATAATTACATTTTCTTCAATGTGATAAAATAATTATATTGTTTCAAAATTAAAACAAAAAAAAAAGTTTCTACTTCTTCCTAGAAATAAAAATTATAACAATACTAAAATCAAAAAGAAGTTTGAACAACTTAAACTCAAAAATTTATATTGTTTATTAATGGACCATAATTTTAACATACTAATTTAGCTCACTATAAAAAATATTCTATAATCTTTATTTTTTCTTAATAGTTACTTGAAATCTATGATCAATAATAATGAATTACTTTAAAATTTGTTCTTGTATAGTACTATTACTGTTCGTTTTATTAGTATTATGGGTTAAGTTAAGATTGATTAACTTTAATAAATATCTTAAAGAAAGTTACAGATTTTGCTAATCAACACAATTTATTTATAACCACAAACATTATTTTTTATAACCATAAAAACATGTGAACACATTATATTATTTACAGATGATATCGATTGTTTATCAAATTAAATTAAATCATATGGTTTGTCCTAATCCTACATCACTGCCTCCCAGAGACACAGTCGCGACGATGTTTCTCAAAGGCTGAAATACAAAATGTTAACTTTAGAAGATAATTGCATCCAAGTACCGAGATGGAAACTTCACTGAACGACCACTACGTGTGGTTTGTATCAACGGTTTACTGGAACTAGGACCTGGACAGGGTTCGTTAATCTCTTCAGGAGAAGTTTGTGCAGAACGTTGGTCAGGTCTTTTGAACGAAGATCAGGTTCTTCTGGTGATGCCAAAAGATAAGCCGGCTTTAGGCGGTCCACTGATGTTTGTTTCTTTGTTCTTTACCGACAGAAATTCAGGATCACTGGCTTGGGCTTCTGCTACTTTATCCATATCGATGGTGCTGATAGATTTGATTCTAGAAAGAGTATCAGCAACCATGTTCAGTTTACCATTTATGTGTCTAATGTCACTGGAAAATTCGGAAATGTATTGTAAGCGTCTTATTTGCAACGGGGTAGCCTTTTCATTTTTTTGTTT